TTGACGCCATTCTGTACTCTATGTGTACATAATGAATAAAGAAAATTTTGATTTGATTTGATTTGATCTATAAAGTTGGAGAAGCCAAAGAGTCAGAAGAAATTTTGAAGTTTTAAAGTATTATGAGCCAAACAAATTTTAAGTGTTGGCGAGTGTAATATATGTTTATATTAATTGTACAAGAAGCAGCATTTGATTTTATAGTGTTGGTTGCATTCCAGATGTTAAAGACTTTTGTTTTGTTCTGATTGTTAATTTTGTAAATAACAATAATAATTGAGTTGTGATTGAAATGGAGAATAAATTGAATACACTAGATTTTATCTTGTTCTTATAAAATATTACATTAGTGAAGGTCGAAGGGTGAATTTCCTTAGGCCAACCATAAAATTAGCAGTGTCCATTAGTGAGGTTAGGTCAGCAACTATCCTCTTGTTCATAATTTTATTAAGTACATTTTTTACTTCAACTTTTTTAAGGTAAAGGATCCATTACAGAAACACATGTTGTACTTAATTTTTAAAGAAAATCATGCCGTGCTGCATCGAATCAAATCGCATTGAATCAAATCGCATCGAATCACATCGCATCAAATTGAATTGCATCGATTCGAATTGAAATTCTTTGAATCGCATCGATGCATCGAATAAAAAAAATATGCTGCATCGCACATCCCTAATTAATTTAAAGGAAAACATTTGCTGCTTTAAATTTAAACCTGAGCATAAGATTAACATCGAAAGGACTTTAGAACAAATCCAGCCTAAAATAAATCAAATTATTATTGGTTGCGAGGACATGACAAACGATGTAAACAAATTAATATGTAAATACCCGAATGTTTTACTGACAAAATTGGATCCGCGCTCAATCTTAAGGTAAACCTAAAAGTAACTGATAACACACCTGTTTGTATAAGACCATATTTTCTGAGTCCTCCAAACATCAAAAAGGTTAAAGCGATCATTGATGACCTACTTCAACAAGATATCACCAAACTATCCACCAGTCCATACTCTTCACCAGCGTTTTTAACAAAAAAGGATTGCCTAGTCATTAATAACACCGAAATCAATAAAAACCTTGTAAAAATGCACTATCCCATTGGTGACCTAAACAATCTGTATCAGCATCTGCAAGGAGACATAATTTCTCGGTGATAGATCTATATAAAGCTTTCCTGCAATGCTCCTTGACTAAAGAAAGTCTTCCCTTCGCTGCATTTTGTACGACCTTTGGCAAGTATAAATGAGGAGACAATTCAAGATGAAGGATGGCGTAGTGCAGTGAATGAAGAATTAAACTGTCTACACAGAAACGAAACTTGGGATTTGGTTGAAGCTCATAAAGACGCTAAAATCATTGATTCTCGATGGATTTTTCGGAAAAGAACTAAGAAAATTGTGGCTTCAAACCAGAAATGGAGAAGATGACCAACTAAGGTTAAGACATTTTGAATAGCTGAGACAAAAGTAGCAGGAAGCAAACAGAATCACAAAACAAACACTTAGAAGATGTAAAAGAGATTACTTGAATGAAAAACTCAGAAAAGCAGAGAAAGATAGGACAGCCAATAATACTAGAGACTTTTATAGAACTATAAGATTCTTCAAAGGAGGATTTAAAGCGAGAACATTTGGCATTATGGATGAAGAAGGAAAAGTTACCACAGAAAAAGAGAAAACACTAAGAATATGGAAAGACTATTTTGTTGGCCTGCTAAACTGCGAGTATACTGTCGTTAATATTCCTGATGAAGATACAACATTCTATCATGTACAGCCTCATATAGACCCACCATCGTTAGAAGAGGTGAAAATGGCAATCAAAGAATTAAAATGCAACAAAGCTCCGGGCGAAGATGGGATTACAGCAGAAGTAATCAAAAGTGGAGGAAGCGTATTGGAAAATAAAATACACAAATTAATAACAACTATATGGCAAAAAGAAAAGATACCTACTGAATTGAAAACTGCAACAATTATTCCTCTACACAAGAAGGAGACAAACAAACTGCAAGAACTACAGAGGAATATCTTTACTAAATACATATAAAATACTTTCAAAAATCCTTGTCTCAAGACTAAACCCCTATGTAGAAACGCTAATTGAAGAACGACAAACCGGATTTATAAAAGGGAGGTCCACAATAGAGCAGAGTTTTCTACTAAAGCAGGCAATTTCAAAATATTGGGAGTTCAACAAGAATATTAGTGCAATATTTATAGATTTCAAAAAAGGATACGACAGCATAGACAAAATCAGCTTGTGGAAAAGTTTTAAAAAGCATGTTTTGCCAGACAAATTAATTAAACTAATACACAAAACACTGGTGTAAGACGAAGAGATGGCATATCTCCCATACTATTCAACTTAGCACTGGAAGAAGCCCTGCAGAAATCAATTGAACTTGGATTGGGTGTTGAGCTAGGAGAAGATATAAACATAGAAGGGTGGAAGAGGCTGGTACACGAGGCGAAGAATCAACTGAGATTTGTAGAGCCACGGCAGTAAGTAAGTAAGTAAGCTAACAATATTTTACTAAAAACTACACTTTATTAGTTTCCTTGTAGCAGCAAACCTAGGTACTTGTTAAACCTAATGTTATTTAAATAGATTTAATTGAAAATCATTTCAGACAAATGGAAATTCGCTTAGTCGGCAGGTTTGCTGTGGCGGGGGTATTTTAATTAGATTAGAAGGTTTTGACTTAAATTGGCTAGTTGGAATGTATGATTGCTCTGCTGCATACCTTTTTTCTTTAATTCATAAACACCCCATTACCTCAAAAATACTTAATGGAAGGACATAAAGAGAGGGGTTGGTGTAGTACAACCAATCCATTCAAAAAATTTTGTAAAACAAAAAAAAATGGTATTGTTATCGATAATTGATAAGTTTTGGATGTATGAATTTATTCTGGCTGCGGAACAGATAGTTTTCCTTATTTTTTCACTGTCACTTCACTTGGTAAAACAAGTTAGTTGGTAGATCCATAAGGTCAGACATTGTTTCATCAATTACGAAAGTAGAATTGTAAATTACTCTAAAAAAATACAGAGAATAATGGATATATTACACATCTGTTCTCATATTTATATTTTATAGCGTTATGAGACAGTATCTACACAGTTAAGTTTGATTCAAAGGATAAGATCTTATTTTTTTACTGTGATTTTTAAACATCTATACTATTATATAAAAATCTAATGGTGTCTGTCTGTATGTGTATTACTAATAGGTGCAAAAACTACTGAACTAACTGGGCTTACATTTTACAAAAATATAGTTACCATACCAAGGACCATTATAGGACTATTCACATTTCGATACTGACCGTAGACTTTTGCCCCTTTGGTTTTAAAAGTTCTTAGGTGAACATTTTAAAAGTAAATATTGATTGGTCTCCATGGCTGTGATGAGAACACTAACAATGTTTGTTTACATTTGCTTTGACATTTAAATATAAACAAGAAGAACTGCTAAACTGCATATTTCACAATTTCAGACAGCTGATACAAAGAAATAATATTTTCCATAAATATGAGGTAGGTTTATTTTGATCTAACATTTTATCATGGATTATTTATTTTAAAACTATGTCAATGATTATAGAAAAAAAAGATTTTCTAACCGTTGCTGTATCAACTCCGGCTCTGCTTTGGATTTTTTAAAGCGTCTTAAGTTAATAATCTTAAGTTAAAATAATGTTATTGATATGTTTTCATGGAAACAGTATGAAAATTACAATGTATAGATGTTTTGTATGAATTTGGAGGCTACTTTAAATAAATTCAATCTGCTTCACATGTGTTAGATTATAACTATAATTTGCACATCACATTGTTTTTTATATGTATATTTAGGTAAATTAAGTTATTGTGTTTTGCTAAACCTATGCTTAAATTAAACTAAAGAATACCATCAATAACTAAATTGTCTTTGATTTTTGTTTTCTAAAATCTGTTGTATATGTGCGGTAATACAAAATACTCTTATTTTATCTTAACATAGCTTTCAGTTCAAATTTTACTTTATTTGATAAATTTATTGTCTGTGTTTTGCCACACCACTGATTAGATTAAACCAAGGAAAATATCATAAAACTAAGCAGTACACAGTGTTCTTTTGTTTCTAAAATCAATGAAATATCTGTTACTATGTTTTCCTAATGGTAAGTGTGAAAATGTAAAGGCAATGGACGATGGAAATGATTAAAAGAACTGGTTTGTATATTAAGTTGTTTGTTGATATTTTTGTATAGTAGAATCAGAGATGCAATGAAACATATTCTGTATTTGCTATTACATTTTTTAGTCCTTGATGCTTTGATAATCATATTAGTTTTGTCTGCTGTCTTTAATGCTAAATTATTTGTTTGAATTTTTTATAGTACCTATGGATATAGTTTCTTTAATATTTCAAAATACTGTATTGATAAGGCACAGCAATACTTCTAAAGTTTATAACAGCTGACTTAGTTTTGCTAATGATTTATTGTGAGTGAAAAACTGAAGATGAAAGGATTTGCGATTTAATATAAAGAAGAGTTTAATATAAAGATATTTAAATTTAATAATTAGTATTTTCGCAACTTCAAAATTGAAATTTAAAATGTCAATAATAAATTAAAAGATGTGTAATTAAGGGAGATGAAGGTAAATCTGGTAAATCATGTTCAAGTTTTACTCGAAGATTTGGTCAGTTTTTCTCATATCAGCCTCCACAAGATTTAATCAAAACCAAAATGGTGGTATCCACTACTTACCAGATTTAAAAGTCATAACTTAAACGTTTCTATTAAGGCTATAAAAGTTGAATTTTGTTTCTAAAAGCGTTGGCGGATCTGTAACTATTATATGCAAGAGATAATGATTAAAATGTTTCTATTTTGTGTCCTCTTCCCGTTGCAAAGCACGGGTACAACAGCTAGTTACTATATATTTTTAAGCGCTTAGCTACGAGTCAACGAAATGTTATATTATAACTGGTGATTTTACCTTTGAAGACTTTTTGGAGTGCACAGAAGTTTTCCGTTGGGATGATGAGGTTGTAGATGCTCGGCTGGGGGACTGTCTGCGGTGGGAGGGGGAGGTTGGCATTGACCTTCTCTCTACAACTAGCTTGTTGTCTGGGATGTCCAATGAACATCTTATCTGTAATGTAACCATCATAGGAGTGGATTTTAAAGCATCTATTTTCCTTTAGGTTAACGTAAAGCAGCAAAATCACAATGGTACTTAATCATTTTGGGAAATTTTGATTTGAAACTTGATTTTCATTTTTATAACTCATTACTGGAAGCTTTTTAGTGTGAGTCCCTGTTTTAGTGAATTTCCCATATTTGGAAAAAGCTATTACCGTAGGTCTCATGGTCAGACCTGGACCCGGGACCGTTTTACTTTTTGTTATGAGGTCGCCAGGGTCCAAAAACACCATCCGTTCAATTTCAGACATATATATGTGTCCATGATAACTCGAGCAAAAATGATCAGATCGATGACATTTTGTATAAACTTGTAAAACTGCATTTATTTGTATGAGTTCGCGAACCAGCATGTCCTTGACTATGGGAATGGGGGATTATGGGGTATAAATGGGGTTTTCCCATTTTGACCCTAAAAACATAACATTTTCCAATTTCTTTCCAAACCGTTTTTTGGGCAAAAACCCGACAATTTAGTATATAGAAGCGTTGTTGTATACCTGACGGTTACAGAGAAAATTCCTAAGAACTGTAAATTTAAAATTCCCATGTTATACTTATGGAGAATAAGTAAACTATTCTAGTTTAATAATGTTTTTGATAAGTTGATAAAAATTAAGTTTTGTTTGAATGTATATAATAAATAAAGTTTTGTTTGAAAGTAATAACTGAAAATAACTTACACAATTCACTCACTTCAGTTCTTTATTTTCATTGTGATTCTTTATTTATAAATAGTTTTTGAAAATGTATTTATTTTATACTATTCTAGCAGAGTACCCGTACTTCGTACGGGGTTTGGGTCGGTACTCAACATCAAATGTTGGTTCCACCGGTTCTTGGGAAAAGTACTGGGACGGAGAACCGATGATGAAATGTTGGTACCGATACCTTTGGTACCAAACTAATTGGTTATATTTTTATTTACAAAATTCAAATTGTCAACCATGATGATTATTTTTACTTAAGGCTATTTGAAAGGGCATATTTGTCATGAAATATTATCAATAGTAGGCTATAGGATGGTTATTTCAGTGTTAGTTGGTTAAGTTGTCGTCACTATCGTCAGCTGATAGAGTGGTGCAAACATCGACTGCAATTGCTCCACCATCTTCAAACAGAAGACAGAAGGCAAGCTTATTCAATTAAATTTACTGGATCAATTAAATGGTTTATTTGGACTCAACAAAATTATTACACTACCTTAATACCATCCTTTCCTTATCTGAGGTTATTTAATAACAACATTAATAATAGTAACATGATTATTTTATTTCATTTTATATTTTTCTTTAATTTACTTTGTTTTGCACAAACTAGAGAAATACAGAAGCAACATAATAGCGCTGAATGTGTGACTCAAACCTCAAACTCATTCCAGTTCACTCTAACTGTTCGACTCAGTCCAGTCCAGTCAGTGGCTGAATTCATATTTTTAAGCCCATTGGTTAAATGTTGGGTTATTCATGATTTTGACGAGTCATATTGCATTCAATCTGTAACCACCGTGACAAATGGCAACACTGAGCATTACGCAAGACTATTATTTTAAATTTCAAGTTCAGCGGTAAAATTTATTTGTTGATGGATGAAACTACATGGTAACATGACAAACAGCAAAGCCTTCATTAAGCAAACCAAAAAGGGCTTTTATTTGTTATTGTTTGTATGCTTTGTTGGTTTGTACTTAATTTTGTTTTTGTCTTTCTCTTTCAAGAGTGAGGTGAGAAAGTTTAAATGTAGTTTAGCGTCGTCAGTCAAGTTTCTTTGAAATTGCCTTTGTTTTCGTCGGATTTCCTAAATCATTTATATGTTGATGTGAATAATTAAACTTGTTTTGTCTGTAAATAATAAGTGAAAGTGGATTAGTTTATCAAAGGAATGTAGGGCTACCACAAGTTCTTTTTTTTTATAGACTAATTTGTGATAAATTATTGATAGTTGCTTCCCAAGTTTGGAAGAATTTTAAAATTGATGAAGCAAACAACAGATTTGCGAAATACATCATATTATTTAATAGTCTTATCTCCAAAGGTGAGGGGTCTAAAAGGACTTTAAACCTAATGAAATACCTAAAAACCCACAATACAGTATACGGTACAGACACTAGTCCTACAAAAAACCATTACCGTCACCAAACTAAGCCTTTGTTAAATCTGTTTTTTTCAACAAGCCTCCACCTTAAACTAAGTTATAACCTCAAATGAATATGTAGGCCTATTTTCTAAAAAGTTTCGTTCTAAACAACCTTTCCATAAATACTTTTGTTCTAAACTTTCCTTAATACTGGAGCCAAAATTTAACTTTATGCAGACTATAGGTACAAAACACGGCCACCTTTAGATTGGCCTGGTAGAATTGGCAACGTCGCAAGTAGGGTTGTTTAGTGTCAGACGTCCCATAATATAACCTGGCAGACAGGTGACATTGGCTCATTAATTCGCACTTTGTTGATTTCAATCAAAATTTATGAACATAAATTTATTAAAACATTGAAAATAAAACATACATAATTTAAAACCAAAACAATATGAATTGAAAATCTATATCTGTACATTTAAGGCAGAGTCAATGTTTTCATAGTCCAGTAACCAAGCTTTTGTAAATATACAAATACCATTCATTAGCTGCTTCCAAAAAAAACAGCTGTTACAACCCTACTTGCGACGTTGCCACTTAGAAGGCCGCGGCCTCGAGTTAAAGGCGGCCGTGGTACAAAATTACTCAAAATTACTTCTTTCTAAATATTTAGCTAGAACTTAACAGGCAGTTAACTTGGTTTAACAAATTTCCAGAGCCACTTTTCTTTCCAAGGTTAGTAGCCTATGTTAAATTTATTGGTTTAGCAGTGAATCATTTCAACAAATAGGGCTGTATTTAACACTTCTGGAATGGTTTTGATTTGAATGAGTTGTAAAAATTGGCCTAAGTTTTATTTTCTTAATCCCATAAAATAACGAACCTACACTAATGAAAAATAATCAGTTTTAAAAATTGAAATAGGGATACTGTATTTTGTTTCAAAAACAAAACAATTAAGTAGCCTAATTTAAAATGAGGTACCGATTTTAGCAGAACCGAGAATTGATTTTGGTTAGGAACTGGTACCAGTACCGACATTGAAAAAGTGGTACGGACCCATCACTACAAGTATAAAATGCCTATTGCAGTTGTTATAGTCAAGCTTTGCGTTTGCAATGGGAGAGGACACAGTTTGATAAAATTTAGCTTTTTAAATTTACTGTATGCTATTAGTATCTACCATAGCCATTATGTTCTACCACTGCACCTAAACAATAGAAAAAAAATATTCCCAAACATTCACACAATATCACAAATTATTCATTAAATTAAAAACATAAACATAACTATAAACAAAAGCTTTTTGTTGCTGCTTAAAATAATAGTACTGCACCTTGTTGAAAAACCTTATAACTTGTTAATGCAACTGCATATCATAGAACCAACTTGTTTAGTTGAAAAAGCTGACTAAATTCTTTAATCTATAATATTAAAACGTGACAGGGTTTTTTTATTTCACGATTCAGAATCAACCACTTGCCGGATTTTCATGATTTTTGTGTTGAAAGAAAGATAATTTTGAGAGCTAGGGAATGTCGAAGCCATAATTTTAGTTTAGGGTCCCAGTTTTTTTTAAATTAAGTTTTATTTTTTTTAAAGTCTAGCAGCCGACTCTAACATTCTAAACTAGCTTTTGGTATGATATAATTTGCTTAACATAACAGCTGTTAACATTCAGCGTTTTTGACACAAATTCAGCATTTGGATAAAAATGAAAAGACATACTAAGGGTTGACTTATTTATATTTACTATGTGTAATGCTGATCATTACAGCTACGTTCAATTCTTCGGTAAGAGGATGACAGATTAATTAAATATACATAGTAAAATACTAGGATGTTCAAATTATTTTGTAAAGCAATCTTTGATTTGTTTTAGTGCAATATAATTTGTTTTAACTAACAGCTGGTTAAATATAAAAATATTCTATAGAACTATTAGGTTATTTTATTTACTCTGTTCCTTTAGTTATGTTATTTTATGGTAGTTTCTATTCAGACCTACTGGAAATTGTGTATAGTATGTTTCCTACTCGTGTTACATATATGTTAGAATCAGCTCTAGATAATGTATTGACAAATGTTTTAGATTATAAGATGAATGTTACCGGAGTGAATACCCAGATATTTGATCACGATGGATTATTGTTGCAGATTAGTTGCCTAAATAATAAGTTCACAAACCAAAACGTTTTGACTCCAAATAAAATAACTGTAAAAGAAGTAAGAGATTTTAGTGAAAAAAATTTACACATGTTTACTAAATTATTAGATCATGAAAACTGTATAGATGTTTACAACGCAAATGTTATGGAGAAATTCGACACTTTTCATAGAATTTTTATGTTTTATTTTAATACATGTTTTCCTAAGTTTAAGAAACAATGCAAACAATCAAATAATATTTGGATTACAGAAGATTTGAAGAATGAAAAATCTAAAATTTTAAACATGAGTAAAATGGCACGTAACACAAAAAATAAAATTGTATTTGATAATGCCAAAAGTCTGAATAAGGATTTTAGAAAAAAAGTCATTGCTACTAAAAAGAAACATTTTGAGACTAAGGTTAAGCAATCTAGTAATGTATCTAAAACTACCTGGAAAATCCTTAATAATGAGGTCTCCAACAAGAAACCAGCATTTAGTAATATTGAAATAGATTTTAATCATACATTGTTTACTGATCCTGGAGATATTAGCTTAATATTTAATGATTTTTTTAGCACCTATGTAACCTCATCAATACTTCCTCACCTTGCACAAAATAGCAACACACATGTCAACAGCCAATTCAACAAGCCTCCCAAACTAAATTTAGGTCAACCAGTCACAGATAGTGAAGTTTTAAAAATTATCAGTTCCTTT